TTCCTGTGTATCCAAAAGGACCATTTTCATGCTTGAAGGAGATTTGCCTTGAAGACATGTTGAGCTCTCTTGTGCTCCTTTGCCCTTTACAGAATATACCTGTGGGATCTCATCTACTGTTTCCTTGTCGGGATGGGAGGCTGACATCATCCTGGGATCTGTCAGCAGAAGACTAGCCAGGAAATCTAGGGATGTGATTAGTGCGCTTTACTCAGTACTCACCTGACGACACCTACAATGCTGCATCCTATCATGGGCTCCATAAGAGAAGGAAAATGGGGATATACTGGACTGACATGCCAGGAAGGAGGTTGGGGCTTGAGGACAAAGCCTACAATAGGAATCTTTCCCACAAGTTCCCAGTTGGCCCACTGCCCACCCATAGAATTGCTGCTCCTTCACATAGAAGGAAACCCCTTCCCTCTGTCCCTGCCTGTCTTTCCTGTACATCCCTCATGTGGTCAAATGAAGAGCTCAGGTACTCCAGGGATATCAGGGTTGTGCTTGCAGAGCTCTGACAAGCTTCTGTTTGTGTGTAGCCATGTGCAGAGAGCCCAGTCTTATGCTGTTTCATCTTTCTTGAGCGTCTCCCCCCCTCATTCCCCTGCCCCATGGATTCAGCACACAGAGCCCTGTGCCCCCTCCAAGGTCACTTTGAGCATTTTGCTCCATATTTACTCCCCCTGCAAAATGTTCAAGAAAAAAAGTTAATTTTTCAGGCACTTATAACATTTTGGAAAAGCTAATTAGAGACCATAAATGGTTTTTCTCTTTCAGACTGGATGTGCCCTACAGCAATAGGATGAATTCTCGTGTGCAGATGGGTGAATCTCTGACTGAGAAGAAAAGTAGGGACCTAGAAGACTTAAGTATTCATCTAGCCAACTCAGTTTTGAGATCTAGAATTTTCCATTTAGATCCAGACTAATCATGTTGCACTCCTTTTATTAGCAGAAGTGTTTATTTTATTAGCAATGAAAGAGGGTTTTGCAGTCCATCCTCAGCCAGGACATTTACAAGAGGTCACAGGAATCCACTCTGATGTTTTCTCTCCAGTAATCCAGGGAGATTGTATCCTGTGAAAAACATCCTACAGTGGGAGGCAGATTCTTAAATGTGTGTTTAGCATGTTTTGAGATGCCCTAAGTTTGCTAATATATTTGCATGAAGCTGCTGATTACCTACCACTTTCTGAAAGTCCAAGAGGGGAAGTACATCTCAATTGGCACTTTCTAACTCCATTTAGGCACCAGGATCCCATCAGCAAAGGCTGAAGTCACACCCCATAACAGGTGATATTAGCAGCTCTGACTGCTGTTGGGAGAAATACATTGAAAGGTCCATGTTGGATCACTGCAGACACGTTTGGACTCCTGTTTCTATCTCTACATATTTCTGGGGTAAAAATCTGCTACACTGGGTTCTCATCATGGAGATTATGGGATCTCATCATACATATATATAGGTATGTATGTATAAATATGAACATGAACATATATTAAAATAATTATAGGAAATATGAGCAGTGTTTATATACACATATATAGAGAGAGACATGCATATAAAACTTCTATGTAATACACATATATAAACCATATGTAGACTAGACATATATGTGTATACATATAGTATATACGTGCATAGATGTGTATTTCATATATGGAACTGTGATTACTGAAGGATTTGTTTCTGACACTTTGGTACATCATGTGGGATTTGTGAACTTTGTCTTCAGTGAGCAAATCATGTTTAGGGCAGCTGTGAAATTCAGATGGTGGAGAGACTACAGAGCAGACCTTCAAGTCTCAACCAAAATCCCTGACTTTCTCTTCACAGTTTTCACCAACACACTGGAAAGAAAATGTTTAACTAAAGCACTGTGGCTGAGTTCCTACTCATGAGATTCTCTGACACTCGAGAACTGCAGATATTCCACTTTATGTTATTTCTGACTGCCATGGTGGGAAACTTTCTCATTATTGTGGTTATAGTGCCAGTAATCACCTTCACACCCCCATGTACTTCTTCTTACTGAATTTGTCCATCTTAGACCTTTCAACCATCTCTGTCACCCTCCCAAAGTCCATGGCCAATTTTCTATGGAATACCACATCCATCTCCTATTCTGGCTGTGTTGCCCAAGTCTTTTTCTTCCATGTTTTTGGTGCTGCTGAACTTACTTTACTGACTGTCATGTCATATGATCGTTATATTGCCACCTGCAGACCTCTTTACTACGATATCATCATGAAGGGGAGCACTTGCAGCCTCATGGCAGCCAGTGCATGGCTCAACTGTGTCCCTTACTCTGCTCTCCACACTGGGAACATCTTTTCTTTAACCTTCTGCAAGTCCAACGTTATTGAACAGTTCTTTTGTGAAGTTCCATAGCTTCTCAAGCTTTCCTGTTCTCATTCATGTTTTAGTGAAGTTGGGATTCTTACATTTAGTTTTCTTTTAGTTGCCCTCTGTTTTGTTTTTATAAGTATGTCTTATATTCAGATTTTCACTGTGGTTTTGAGAATTCCTGTCAAGGAAATCCAGCGTAAAGCATTTTCAACCTGCATCCCCCATCTCATTGTGCTCTCTATGTTTGTTAGCACTGGTTCTTTTGCCTACCTTAAGCCTATCTCTAACTCCCCATCAGCTCCGGATCTCACAGTTTCTCTTTTCTATTCTGTGTTGTCACCAGTGATAAATCCAGTCATTTACACCACGAGGAACAATGACATCAAAGCTGCCAAGCAAAAATTAACTGGCTGCAGATTATTATACAGAAATAAGTAGGGTTTTTATCAGGCTTCCTCTATGTTCCAGGAAATGAACACTTCATAGCAAGGTGTCTATTCTCCCAGGCAACAAGTGATAGAATGTGAAGAAATAGCCTTAAACTGCACCGGGGGAGGTTCAGGTTGGACATTAGGAGGAATTTCTTCATGGAAAGGGTGGTCAGGCATTGGAAGAGGCTTCCCAGGGAGGAGGTAGAGTCGCCATCCCTAGAAGTGTTCAAGAAATGAATGGACGTGGCACTTAGAGCCATGGTCCAGTTGAGTGCCATGGTCTAGCTGATAAGGCAACTGGATTTGTCAGAGGTTGGACTTGATGATCTCAGAATCATTTCCAAACAAAATGATTCCGTGATTCTGTGATTAATTTTCCAGTAGCAAACAGTTTATATCACTGGAATAAGAGGAAAATATTGACCTATTTTTGAAGAAGATTTTGTAAAGATTTCATTATACGTGCAATTTTGACCCACTGATGGCAGCAGCTTTCACAGAATGATATATGGAATGGAACGGAACAAATCCAGGGTAATGCTCACAAACCCTTTGTGCATGCCTGCCTGCCTATGTCTCTATCTCACCTTCCCTTTGCTTTATATATGCTTATAGAATATAATTTATAATTGGGCTCTTTTATAAAAGGGACACACCTCAATGTGTGTGTATATGTGAGAATCATGGAATGACAGGATCCCAGAATGGGTCAGGGTGGAAGGGACCACAGTGGGTCATCTGGTCCCACCTTGCTGCTCAAGCAGGGTCAACCCAGAGAACCTGGCACAGGATTGTGTCCAGATGGTTCTGAAATATCTCTAGTGAGGAAGACTCCACAACCTCTCTGGGAAATCTGTTCCAATGTTCAGTCACCTACACAGTTGTATTGGGTCTGGCTGAGCTGGAGCTCATTTCCCCACAGCAGCCCTCACAGTGCTGTGCGTTGCATTGGCAACTGGAAGAGTGTTGATAACACACCAATGTTTTGGCCACTGCCGAGCGCAGCACCAGCACTGGGACATTCCTTCTTTAGTTGAGGGCAAGATCCTGGGAGGGGACCCAAGTAGGCCAGCTGACCCCAACTGACCAAAGGGACATTGCAGACCATGTGACATCAGCTCAGCTATAAAAGCTGAGGCATGGAGCAGGAGGGGGGCATTCATTGTCTCCAATGGCTGCCTGCTGAGGAACCATCACACGTCCCCAAGCCCTGCTCCTCGGGAGAGGTCGACCATGGCTGCTCATGGGAAGCAGAGAACAAACCCTGCTGTCTTTGGCTTCTGCACGTGCAAGCTTCACTTTACTTTTTTGCTTTAAATAAACTGCCTTATCCCAACCCACGAGTTGTTTCTTTTCCCACCTTACTCTCTCCTCTGCCCTGCTGGGAAGGGGAGTGATAGAGTGGCTGGGTGGGCACCTGGCATCCTGCCAAGCTCAACCCACCAAAACAGTAAAGAAGTTCTTCCTCATATTCAGGTGGAACTTCCTGTGCATCAGTTTCTGCCCATGGCCTTTTGTCCTATTGCTCAGCACCCCTAAGCAGAGCCTGGTCCCTCCTCCCTTCAGACACTGACAGATATTGTTGAGGTTCCCTCTCAGTCATCTCTCAAGGCTGAACAGGCCCAGCTCCCTCAGCCTGCCCTCATAACAAAGATGCTCCAGTCCCTTAACCATCTCCACAGCCTCCACTGGACCTGCTCCAGGAGCACCATGTCTCTCTCGTGCTGAGGAGACCAGAACTGGAGACAATGCTCCAGATGTGCCTCACCAGGGCTGAGTAGAGGGTCAGGATCACCTCCTTGACCTGCTGGTAATGCTCTTCCCAATGTACCAAGCATCTCATTGGTCTTCTTGGCCCCCAGGGCACACGGTTGGTTCATAGGCAGCTTGTGAGAACCCCCAGGTCCTTCCCCAAAATGCTGCTTTCCAACAGGTCACGCCCAGCCTGTAGTGGTGCCTGGGATTGCTCCTTCTCAGCTGCAGGACCCTGCATTTGCCCTTGATGAATCTCAGAAGGTTCCTCTCTGCCCATCTCTCCAACCTGTTGAGGTTCCTCTAAAGGGCTGCACAGCCCTCTGGGGTAATGGCCACTCTTCCTAGTTTTGTATCATCAGTAAACTTGCTGAGGATGCATCTGCCCCTTCATCCAAACCAGTGATAAATAAATTAAACAATACTGGGCCCAGTATTGAACTTCCAGAAACTGCCCAATAGGTCATGATGTTTATTTGAAAATACGAGGAGAAATGCAGGGAAGGGTTTTGGTGGTGTCCATTTAGATATGTCTCCACTGGAGTTTTTGCTTTATTACATCAGGTCTATTACATGCTATGGTGATTAGAGTGCATGATGTGCATCTTTATTATCATCACTTTAAAGCTAAATAAATGTTCGTTCACATTATCTGCTTTGTACTGTAAATTACCCATATAATTGCACGTTGTTCTTTTCCAAAGTAAATTATCATTGCTTTCCATTTCCTCCCAGCCTCACCCCCAAACCTTTACATAATGGAATCACTGTGTCCTGATTTTGAGCAGCTGAATTATTGTTGTTTGTTGGAAATCCCAAAAGCTTGGTGTGAGATTCTAAACACCGAATACTATTTTTGCTTTCAGATCCAATAACCCCATGAGAAGAAATACCAATTTATCATCTTTGACTATGCATGGAGTGTGAAGGGTAACTTAAGTGTGAGATTGAACTACACAAAAAATCTCCATGAAAAGTGTAGATGTAGAAAAGTAACCATTGTTAAAATATGGTGAATTTTTTTAGGGTTTGACCTTGCCTAGCTGCCAGGCACCTACATAGCTGCTCCCTCACTCGTTTTCTTGAATAGGACATGAAGAAAAATAAATGAAAAAGGTTGTGAGGTAAGAAAAAGATATGGTATTTGCTTAGCAATTACTGTCACAGGCAAAACAAACTCAACTTGGGGAAGACTGGTATAATTTACTGACAATTAAAAATAGAGTAGGAGGGTGAGAAATAAAAGCAAAAATTAAAACATCCTTCCCCCATGTCCCCTTATTCCCAGGCGCAGCTTCACTTCTCTACTGACTTCCTTTGCTCCCCAGCCCTGCCATCTGTACAGGGAGGATGGCAGACTGGGGCCTCTGACCAATACACAGCAATTTCCTTCTGGACCTTTGTCATCCTCACACTTTTCTTCTGCTCCAGCACAGGTCCTCCCCATGGGTTGCAATTCCTTCAGCAAATCTCCATCTGGTCCAGCAGAGTGTCCTCCATGGGCTGCAGCATGAATCTCTGCTCCATCATGGGCTGTAGGGAAATACCTCCTCCTCCTCCTCCTCCTCCTCCCTCTCTTACTGTGGTGTTTGCATTGCTGTTCTCACTCTTCTTTTCCCTCCTGTTCTGTCCGCATAGCATTATTTGCCTTTTCTTACATGTGATTTTACAGGGAGGCCACCAGCTTTGCTGACTGCCTCTGTAAGTGGGTCTGGTTTGGAACCACCTGTGATTGGCATGGGAAAATCTCACATAGGGGATTCCCACAGAGGTCACTGCTGCAGCCTGCCCACTACCAAAACCTTGTCATGTAAATCTAATATGCTTGAAAATCCTAGAACATCATAAATGGCACTGGACTTCAATACATAGGCAGCTAAATCTCATTCCACAATGGTATTTCACTCACTCCCCAGCTGTCACCTCAGAAAACCAGTCCTTTCTATCCTGCCTCCTACCTGACAGGTGGTTCAGATATCTCAGGACAGCTGAAATAGCACTGGACACCTATGGTAAACACTGCAGTGATCCAGTGAAATCCACCCCTTTACTTGACAAACTGTTTTTTAGGAAAAAAAAAAAGAAGAAAGAAAAAGAAAAAAAAGTTCCTCTAGCAAATAACATTATTTTTACCTTTCTATAAAAAACCAGAAAGGCACACAGGAAGAGAGGAGGGAAACAAACAGACAGTCAGATACATGAAGGTGTTTTCCTGTATTATCTTAACAGATTTTTCTCCCTGCAGTCTGGTATTTTGAACTGATGACTGAGTAAATCTCAGAGAAAAGCAGAATATGGAAATGAAGCAAATTTTAGTATTTGTGATTAGCATTTTTTTTCAGAACACGGTGATTATGGTAGAGAACAAATACGTGAACAAGCCAGCTTTGGTGAGTTGGCCATGGACAGCAACTAAGCACCCACCCAGTAGTTCACTTGCTCCATCCCACAAGGGTGTGATTTTAATGGCATGTGATACGTCCCTTTGACTAGTTTGGGTCAGCTTTCCTGGCTGTGTTCCCACCTAGCTTCTTTTCCACCCCCAGCAGTGAGGTAAGTGCACATCCTGAAGACAGTGGGCTCCTCAAAGCAGCCCAGTAGGGAATTTGCTGCCTCCAGACATTCATCCAGTTGGACTTCTGCAAGAAGAGACAAAATGGAGAGAGGGACTACAACTCAGTAAGGGAATACGTTGTGTACCAACAGTCTCACAGACTGCAGCACAGGAGCACTGGGAAAGAGGAATATGAATCAGTGGGTGTCAGCTGTGGATTTAGTGGGAAAAGTCCAGAGTGTGACTCCTCACAGCAAAATCTTCTTACCATCTTGGTCCAGCAGCCACCTGCATGCTTTGGCCACCAGAAGCTCTGACCAAGGTACCTTCCACTTATACTTGTGCAACCAGACCAAGGCCAAAACTGTGGCCCAGACAGCTGGCTCCACATCCTGTGAGGGAAAACAGAACAACCAAGGAGAAGAAGACTCTTTAAGCTTCTGAAATCCTCAACATCAGAAACTTCCCTAGTGCCTCTGGATTTCATCCCACACCTTCCATGTCCTTCTTCCACAAACAGAGAGGATAAACTCCACTGCCTTGATCTCTTCTTCTCAGTTCAGCTCAGACTAGAAATTTGGTTGGAAGAGGAAAGTTCAGCTC